GGGGACCTATATTTCAACTTGGTGCATGTCTGTATGTTATCTACAGTGGATTGAGGTATGTGTATAGATGCAAATGTATGTACATGTACATTGGGTAGGAATGACAAAAACTCTTTCAAAATAAATATCAACGGAGTTCATGCTTTAAAGGAAGGTTCCAGGTCATTACATAATAGGTAGGCTTTCTACTTGGTCTTAAAATGGTTTATGAACTGCCTAGTGACCACCTCACGTGAAGGTAGTGGAGGGGTTTACAAGGAATGGTTGGGGCACAGCGTGACTGTTATTATAAAGCAAACACTTAGCTCATAGTTGAATATTTCACAAATCTAAACCTCGACTTAAAGTCATGAGGCAGACCGCTACTCCCCACTTAACCTAGAATTGGGTTTTATTTGTAAAATGCATGCTAAAGCAATAAAATTACGAGCTAAAATTAAAGACCAATAAAAGAAAAACAATCAGACAATCAAAGCTTAGCCCAACTAGACAATGTGATCCCCAGTGGAGTCGTCATCCTGTCATGGGGGCGCGCGTTGCTATGTCGTCTAACAACGATAGAGACTTTTGTCAGTCCCCTTGTATAAGGTGTTATGTGTTGGGAAACGTTTTTGGATTTAATTATAGAGTTATGATTAATGTTTAGAAGTCAGCGCCTAGTATTATGGTCACTAGGAACCTATGATCTGCGAGAGTTTGGGTAAGAGATTGGTTGTGTAAAGGGAAGACACATCACCCCTAGTGCACCCTACCTAATACAAGCTACACTGTTGTTTGATTGTTTCTTTCTAAGTCGGGTTTCTATTCGTTGGTCTTTTCTAAGGTTCAAAACAGATCTCTCTTCATGAGAAAATCTCTACCTTATTAAGTTAAATCCTAACCATTTTAAAGTCTGAATTTTAGTATTGTATTTATTTACACCTTGTATCTTTAATACATGAGGGTGTACTTTATGGTATAATTTTACACCTCACAAATATTAAAGTTTACATTTGGATCCTAAAAATGATTGGAACAAGATTTTTGACATGTTGGTCAAATCCTAATGGATAATCATAAAATAGTTACGATATCCCTTTTTAGATTTTTTAAAACATGAAGAAGATGTAATTTTTTTTATTTTCTATGAAAAATATGCTTGAAATTTTTTTAAATTTTAGCTGTATGCATGAAAACAAAATGAAAAGGGAAATTGATTCAAAATATTTTCAGATTTTTTTTGAAAATGTTTTGAATTGTTTTTGAAATATTTCAGAGAAAACCAAGTATTTTAATACTGGATTTGTATTTTATAGAGTAAATATACAACCCGATATTATACAAAATTGATAAAAAAAAAAATATTTAAGAAAATCATAATTTCTTTTGAATTTTTTTTGTTTTTTTTTGTTTTTCAAAAATAATATAAATATACTATAATATAATATTAAATATGAGGGTTGGGCCAGCCTAACTAACTAGGCTTAGCCCAGGAACTTTTGGTTAGGCTAATCTCGGCCCAACATGTCCTTTTCTTTTTTTAGGCCCGGTCGGACCCAAATGGTCCGGCCCCGACCTAGCAATCATGCTAATTAGTTATGCTACATGCAGAATGAGAATTCGTTTTGCATGTAACAACTTGGGTAGCAGCAATAGAGAGGTGACGCTACCTAATACTAGAGTGCCTAAATGGAGGCCTGGCTAGTTGATACGGGGAGGGGCTAACGTGAGGCCAGTGGCTGAGGCTATGGCAGAGATGGTGGCTGGTGGCTGGTGGCAAAGTAAGGTGAAAGAAGTAGAAGAAAATCTGCAGCTGGCAAAGTAGGGTGAAAGAAGTAGAAGAAAATCTGCAGCGGGAAAGGGATCGGTAGTTCCGGTAATTGTTCTACCACTAGTGAGGATTTGGGTTTGCAGGGAGGCTGCGCTGCCATCTGTTGGAGGAGGAGAAAGGCATCTGTAGGGGTCTTCAAGGGTTGAAGGGACGGTGGAGATAAAAGAAAGGGAGGAACATTGGCTGGAAAAGAAAACAAAGGAGTAAGTAGATTTTTTGACACCCTTTTCCCCTTGCTCAGACAATAAAATGCACCCCTATTTATAGGTAGTGAAAGAGGGAAATTTTGTCTTTAATAGTGCCAAATCGTGGCCTTTGGTTTGTTTGGTAAGTATCTCAACCGTTGGTTCAAAGTGTGCATCGTGAGTTGCCAATTCTGCAGAAAAAAGTTGTCTGAGTTGGCCTCTTTAAGCGAGCGCCAGAGCCAGTGTCATGTTAATAGGCCTCAATGAACCATACTTAGGGATATGGGGATGTTAGGTGACCATTTTGGTCACGAGTTGTCAATTTTAGTTGACATGTGAGGCATTAAATGCACCTTACAAGTAGCTCCTTGAGTTGTCATTATCACCTGGTCCTCGTTTTCTTTTTGTTTTTAAAATAGAAATGACACCGTTTTCAGTTAAAATTAAGGATTTTTTCTAATCTTTAATTTAGTCATGTAACTTTCAATTTCTTTTAATAGAACCCCTATTTAACCATAAGGTTTTGATTTAATGCAATTATGCCCCTAATGAATTGTTGTTTGAGCCTCGGATTTACTCGCCTTTTATAATATAGTCTTTGATCACAAATTTGTTAAATTGAATCCCTAATTGACCATTAAACTTTCAATTTCTTAAATTTCATTCCTGATTTTGTTAATTAAGCCCCCATAGTTTGACTCCTTTTGCAGTTTGGTCATTGGCTTTCAATTTCTTCTATTTAGCCCCTACTTGACCCCAAAACTTTATTTTTCTTGTAATTTTGCCCCTGATTTCAATCAATTGACTTGGTAAAAATTAAATTTTGTCCCTTAAGATTCCAATATTCTCAATTAAGCTCAAATTAAACTCCTAGACTTAATTGTTTTCACGAAAGAAACCCCAAATAAAATTAATTTGACCCATTTGAAGTATAATTAAGTCATTGCACTTAATTAAATCATTCAATTGGATCCAAATTAATTTTTAAATATAATTAAAATTTAATTTGACCCTTGATTAAATCAAATTGGCCTATTAAAAATTTAATTATATCCTTGGACTTAAATTTTATGCAAATTTAAGCAATAATAATTTAATTTGACATTGAATTTGGTTTTTTTTTTGGTATAATAGGGTACAATTAGATCTTGAATTTCCTCTAAAATTACAGCTTGATTTCCCAGTTTGCTTTCTCCACGTTGCCAGCCTTTATTATTATTATTATTATTATTATTTATTATTTATTTTTTTAAAAAAAATTAATTTTTGAGGAATAACCCAAAATTGAGTTAAATCATGGCCACAACAAAACTCCATCTCAGATATACTACTTTAGAAAAATGGCAACAACGAGATGAATTATAGAATAATTTTTTATGTTTTAAATATTCTTTTTAAGATAAACAAAACATCATTGCTCACTTATCTAATATATTTATAACTTTGAATACAATTTTTTCACTAGTAATTTTTTATAAGTAGAACCCTAAAATCCACTCCTAACATTTTTAAGGCTCATTAGAATTACCTTAAAAGAATTAATTTTTTAAAGTTTTTACAAGTTGATTTGTGTTCGAACCACATGAATTTTTGGGTGACTGGCCTTTGCCTATTTCTCTGTTTTCTTAATGCAATGAAAATCCAAGCCAGCCCAATTAGCGCATATGCTGTTTTATGGACAACTGCGATGTCTTTGAGGCCCATAGTCCGGCCTGAAGGCTATTTACACTGATCGGAGAAAATGGTCCCTTCCTTGTCCTTGTAACTGGGCTTGCGGATTATATGACTTTAGTTCAATGGGAGAGTTGATTATTAAAACTTAAGTCTTACGTTGTTTAACAAAATTAATTAGGCAATCCCCGTAGTTTCAGGACCTGTTCTCTTATCCCTAATATTCTTAAATATGTTAGTATTTTAGTCCTTTTCTCAATTCCATGTTCTTTTCTAATCTATTTTATTTTTTATTTCTTGAAAAAATAAAAGAAGAAGCAATTGATATAAGAAGAATAGATTAGGGAAAAAAAGAACTTTATAACCAAAAAATTAGTAAACTAAGCACGGCCAATATTGGTCAAATAAGAATTAGTTTTTTTTATTACTTATTTAAATCATATTATTAAAATATTTTTATAATTGAATAAAAAATTAATTAGTTTTTATAAACTCAATGGACTGAGTTAGTATTAACTCTTGGCCATAAACAAACTAGCTTCGAATCTGAGTTTTACAAGAAAGCTAGTAGGAAGATTTTCCTTTTCTCTTCGCTGAAGTCCTAAAATATGGAAGGTAAGTCGTCCTAACTCAATAATGTTGCTTTTGTTTTGATATAAATAGTGGTTCATTCAAGAAAATAAATAGGGGTTTTGAAGAGAACATGATCATAGATCATAGGTTACAAATTTAAGAAAAAGGATAAAAGTAATTACACACATTAACTTTTAATTTAATGATTTAGATTTAAAAAAATATTAAAAAATAATATAAATTATATTTTAAAATTTTATTTAATAATTTAAGTTACAGATAGTTTTTTAATATAATATTAAAATTATGATAATTTAACTTTTAAATCATATTATTAAAATCACGCGTTTAAATCTTATAATTTTTATTTATTTAATAAAAAATAAATGTTAAATAATATAAATTCATAAAAATTTTAAATTTAAAAAAATTTTATTTAAAAAAATTATAAAATAATATAAATTATATATTAAAATTTTATCTAATAACATAAACTTTTAAATAAAAATCATTTTTAAAACAACTCAAACAACTAACCTAAACAGTGGAACAAGAGTCATAAACGGGTTCTGGTAAAAGAGATAAGCTAGGTGACATCCACGAGAATGTCTGCCAGTTGTACTGATAATGGGGACCCTCAAAGAGATTTTTCAGTGGCATGAATCATGACTCAAAGTAAACACAGAGAGGAAGAAGATAAAAAGGAGATTAGCTAATGGCGGGATACAGTGGTCATCCTATTGATGACATTTTCTTTTCTAGAGTGGGTGATGCATTAAGAAAAGTTACCCAACCTAAATGCAGGTGGGGCATTGATGGAGATGATTAGCATACCCGTGAAATGAAAAAAAGGAGAGATATATCATGTCCTTCAACAGGTTTTAAAAACAGAGTCCATAACCCATCACCTTTCCTACCTTTATCCATTTCAAACTCTTAGCTTCTTCCATTTTTCAATTTTCAATCCTCAATCTTCATTCAGTTGTAGGTAAATAATCAGAGAATCCTTTGGTGGTTCAAGCATTCAACATTTCTTTTATATACAGAGTTTTGTTACCTTCTTGTGTTTGATTATATGATATTGACTCAAGTCTGCAGGACCCAAAGAATGGAGAGTGGACAAATGGTCAACAAGGGCATGAAGGTAGAGAATCCATCAGAGACTGAAAGCATGTCCAGTGGTGGCACAAAGTTTACTTCGGGGTTTCAAAGACAGACAAGCGCTTCAAAGAGTAATTGCTTATGCTCTCCAACCTCCCATGCTGGTTCTTTCCGGTGCAGGTTACACCGTTCCCCGAGCCTTCAACGAACCAAAAGCATTGACTCTGCATCTCTGAGAGACTCAGAAACTAATATCAACACGACAGCTGATGATACTAGTAATGCACACAATTGAGTCCCAGTAATTCACATGAACTTATTGAATGTAATGTAAGTGTGCTAGCTGTTGCTACCTGCTGTTGTTTGCCAGCATTTATAATGGTCTTGGAGTTGTACATCTGCTATTTTTTTTGTATTTGTTTCCTCTTGTTTAAGTAAAATGTTACCTATTTCTCTCTTTCGCTTCTCTCCTTCAGATCAGGAACAGAAAAAGGTTTTGCCAGTAGTTGATTAATGTCTTTTTACTAGAGGTGAGCCTACAAGCTGCTTTGGTAAATGAACTTATTAGGATTGCAAGGAACGAGACTTACTACCAACAGAAGTTTTTATTACTGTCGGTCTCCAGGCTATTCATCAATCCCATGTTTTATTTGAACACTAGCTAGCCCTCAATCCATCCTTGTTGTATAATTTTAATTTTAATCTGTGATTTACTAACGATTGAAGTGTTTTGCTAAAGCTTAAACGATTAATGTTCGTGTCTAGATCTGATCGGTGTATTAGTAAGTTAAGCTTTCACCAAGGGACTCCATACATAGATTATAGAGATCTACCTTTTTCCTCTAAATTGAAATTCTGTCAGCAAATGGTGTGCTTGGGAGAAAAGAACAGAAAAGGTAGATGAAATGATCCGAACACCTGGTATCATCAGCAGAGAATTAAAAAAATAAACAGGACCTGGAAAGTATAAAAAAACAGTGGAGGCTTCATTTGAGGCTCGAGCTCAGTACCCTCTAATTGCAGCTTGGTGCTGGCCACACAGTGACTCAAGAAATCTCCACCTGTTGATATCAAATTGATTTGAAATGAAGACATCTGACTACCAAGAAAGACCCCACGCACTTACATGATCAATCATAATTGCACAGCCTGTAAAATTTTTGAAAGAGTACTACTGCTGAAACCTGATCCTGTGAGCAGCGGTGATAATGTAGACATTTAAGGAAGCCCACGTACAGGTAGTTTAAAAGGAAAAACGAGCATAAGTTATGGAGTCTTAACCTCAAATTAATATAGAAGTTTTAAGTCATGAAGTACAAGCATTACATTTTCGACTTTGGCCCTCCCACCTATAGTTACATTTGGCATATGAAGTCTAGCAGGTATGCGGCTGTTTGCTTATTTGATCATGAATGGTTAGGAATGGATGATAATGGCGATCCCTGAGGTCTTCCTTACACTCATAATTAGAGATTGGAATGGCCAGACAAAATCAATGATTTCTCCATTTACCTGTTTCAATTTCAGATGTTACCTTGAGCAATTAACAAGCAACATGCTCTGTTGTGGAAATGAAAATACCAGACAAAAAATCGAGTTAAAAAATAAAGTATGATGTAAAAGGCGTTTGCTGTTGCTTGAAAACAGAAAGGTTATTGAGAAAAGCTATAATGACAATAATAGAAGCAATCATGATGACAACAATGATGGCCATACCATTGCTGATCTCTAACTGACCTGCCTTGAAAAGTTCAGCCTAACCCTTTTACCAGGTAGAGAGGTGTGTTTAATTTCCAGCATGCAGTCGCTGTCCACTATCATGGTCGACAGCAGTACAATAATTCCTTTGATTACAAACTGAATTATAGTTAACCAACCTCTAAATTCCAAAGAAAGAAGGAAATCTATCACCACTTTTGACACTAGTAAACCAATCTAAGTGATTTTGCTTGTATCATGCTTCTTGTATCTTCTACTTGGTCACTCGCTTCTTCTTGACATTTTCTGTCCATCATAGGCAGGACTTAAACTTGACTAGTTATCCTTGTATGGTGACAAGCAAACCCATTATATTATATTAATCCTATTTTCATTTCTTTTTTATCCAACGAAATCCCAACTGATAGATAATGGCTAAAAACAAAAGAACAAGGTACAATGACAGGCAAGAACAAGGAAAACTTGTTGCAATTAACTAACAGGTGAGAATCCAGTGCGATGAAAGGAGACAAAAGTAGATGTTGCAGATTTATGGACGCAAATCAAGAAAATTGGTCCCAGAATTGATGTTCTACAAGTAATTAAGAGTCCTTTCTTCTAGTTCCCATAATGAAATCAACCAGGAGATTAATTTTCTCTCATGTCCTCAAAATTTTCTTATTATATTAGATAACATCACCATTAGAATTTTTTCTTTTCTTTTCTTTTCTGAGCTACAAAGTACAAGGCATTTCAGAAGAGCAAAACAAGAAAGATAGTGTATAAGTTGCACTTTAAATTACCATCTGCTTCTGGAAGTAAACAAAATTCAATTTTTTTCACTGGAATTTCTATTCATGGACAGCAACTTACTGAACATCCTTTTCGGTCTCGTAGGAAGAGCACAGAAAGCCTTAAGCTTGGAACTCCTCCCTAGTCCATCTGATTGCAGATCACTTTCATTTAATTCATCTTCAGCCATTTTCATCCTTAGTGTTGAAACCTTAGATTTTGGTGATTTGAAGCCTGAGACACTCCATTGGTCCTCTGCTTGAATGCTAGTAGTTGTGCTTAATGCAGCTGTTGGCCTTGATGGATCAATATTATGTGCAGCAAGTAGTGCTTTGATGTTGCTAGGCAGCTCAGTGACTTTGCCACCGCCCATGGTTGCTCTAGCTTGCTCAAAGAAGAGAACTTGTACCACCACCCTCAGTGGGAGTAACTCATTCTGCGCAGCATGCATGCAGGCTTCGACCGATAGTTTCTTGCAGTCTAGGGCTCTGCACAACCGTTTTCTTTCACTCTTGTTTAGGTCTGGATGTGCCTGGAAGTTCGGCCATGAAAACTGTGACCATTTACCCATCTTAAAATTTGCTAATATGCGTAAGGTAGGAGGTCTAATTTTGTCGCCAGGTCTATTTCATCATCTTCTTTTTTTCCAATTATCAAAAAAAGGAATCCCTTCACTAGTCTTGAACATTAAAGAAGACTTTTGATTTTTACCCAGAGATTAACTGTCTAAACGTTAAGAAGAGATGCTATATGGTATAAAGTACAGGAAACATGACATGAAGACAACAAAAGGCAACCACAAATTTAGTGTAATCGACTGCTGGCAACAGAGTGGTTCATGCTGAATTAGTTTTTTTTTTTTTTAGCGATATATTCCATGCTAAATTAGTCTGGTGAGCCTAATCCTAACTGCCAATAACTTGTGAGCCTGACATATCCTGAGGTCAAGAGAGCTGGTTATCTGCCAGACAACGGAGACCTACATCCTAGAATTTGATAGTGAAATAAGCCTAGGAATTAAAGTGATAGTGAAATATGTCCTAGCATTCAACTGCCATGAAGAATATTCATGATCAAGCCTTGATTTGGATTATGGTTAATTTTGCAGACTAAAAAGCTATCAATTTGTTATTTACCTTGAGATAAATGTCAATGGCTCTGTAGAGATCATCATGATCAAGCCTAGAGAAATCTGGAATGGCCTCAGCAAGCGTAATGAATTTCGAAAGAGGTAAATTCACGTCTCGGGCAATCTCTTGAAGATAACCATCCACAAGCTTAGCCACCTTCAACTTTGAGCTATGTGATGCTGAAGAAGACCTCCTGCTCTCTTGAAACTCCAAGTCAATATTCTCTGCTGACCGAGATCTCCTCCTTTCAAACCCTAGCTTGGATCTTGGAGGGCTGGTGGGAGGGCTCTGCCCTTGTAACATGAACTGCTCCAATATGGTGATGACCAAGTCTACATCATACACCGTATCATTTGCAAGTGAGATGGAGGGTATTAACAGATCCCTTACTTCTGCTTCCTCTAACTGAAGTGCCGCTCTTCTGGTCAATTCCATCTTTGAAGATGAGGAGGCATTGAGAATATTGGCTGCTTTCAAAAGTTTGAGAAGGAAACTGCAAGTTACAGCACCTTTCTCTGCTGGGAGTAAGCTTACTATTGTTTCTAGGAGCAGCCTATGCTTTGAAGTTGTCTCGTTGGTCGAGTCTGAATCCGAGTCAGATCCTACTTGCTTATTAAAATTTCGTTCTCTTGATATGTTAGGCAGCCATCGAGCTGCGTAGATTTTCAAGGCCTCCCCAATGAGGTGAGATGGTATCTTTCCACCGGATTTAACTGCCATCATGGTTCTCCAATATAGGTCTATGCCTAATTCTGCCATATCTTCAGCCCACCAACCTTTGCTTGCTGGTTTAAGCCTCTGGCTCTCTGCTCCATTACAAGACACATCATCCCTTTCCCTTCTAGAGTAACTATGCGACAAGTTAACCTTTGAGGGATGAGTTAAGACTTTAGAGGCAATAGCTTCAATGCATCTGCTTGTAATTCCAAGGTCTTCTGACCACAAAGGAAATGCTTTGGTGCTCTGTAGAGTGACAATAGCATCTTTCCACCCATGAAGTAGGCAAGAAGTGAAGAAGACTTCAAGCTTGTATATTAGGTTCCCCTTCTCAACATCCTCTGTCATCTGCAGGTAATCGGCTGCACATCTCACTGCAACAATGTTGTAGGCACTAATAGTGATTGTAATACCATAACAGAACTTTGCGCAGAGTTCAAATGCCTCAACCCCACCGGGAAAATCAGGGAGCTGGACTATTTGGTGTTGTGAGGATTCAGGGGATTCAGAGCATAGTCTTTGTAGGCGCAAACACTTGGAAAGAAGAGGAAACTGCACAAATCAGCAGAAGGATTACTGAGATTATAATCCAATTGAAGTGGAGGAATAGATGCCATGAGCAATATCTTTTGTTCTAGAAAACTGATGGAGCTTTACCTTGTGAAGCAAATATCTACTTCCGGTCACTTGAACTATAAGGTCACTAGAAACTTCAGAGGAGACAGACCTGCATTGCGAAATTAAATTACTCACAACTTTCCTTCGAAATATATGTAATCTGACATTATCTGCATCCTGTTGAATGGCTCATGGTTATTTTTACCTGACGGCCTCAGCAGTGTAGAAGGTGTCCGGTCGGGATCCGAGTTTCATAAACTTCATGACTAATCCTTCTGATTTTCTTCTTGATTATATGTTCATCAATTTGCTTTATAGGTATAGTTGAATCTGATAGACCTAGCTCCTTCACCAACATAAGCTTCCCATTCAATGCAGGCGAAGCTCCAAAAGGTTTCCTTCTTCAACAGCAAGCAAAAGATGTTCTCAGAAGAAGGCAGAACTCAATAATACAACCTGCTTCCTGTATATAGTTTCACTACTACTTAGCAAACCGGCAAGTTCTCAACCCAGACAATCAAGAGCTTTGATTTTCATAAATTCAGGAAAAAAGAGAGAAAGGAAACAGATATAATTTTCTTGGAGGAGAATGGATATGCTAGAACAAAAGAATACCAAGAGCTTTTATTGCGGGTGTGATACCAATATCTGAGTGTGTGTATGTGTATATATATATACACACAATGAACTACCACTTGCATAAATTTTCCATAAAGAAGCAAAACCAGAAGATCAAACACTCCGAAGTCCAGGTCCTTCCAGTCAAATTCTATACCCCATATGATTTTGACATGCAACCAAAGAATGAAAGTGCTGCAATCCCATCAAGATCAGATATACCTCAAACATAGTAAAGAGAGAGAGAGAAAAAAGCATCGAACCCTAGATTGTAGAATAAGTTTACAAATTAAGAATGACATCAGTGTTACTTGCTTTAAGTAGAAGGAGCATGCTACGTATTAATAAAGAATGGTATAAAGATATAAGATTGCAACCTGAAATCTAATGTTCTTCTTGATATGCTCAAACAAGTATAAGCTGCCAATCATATACAGCAAGACAGACAGAAAGGACCTGAAATATTAAAATCTGTGAAGTAAATTACTAATGTTTTTTTGTAGCTAGAACAGGAAGGCGGAGAGTTTTAAGGCATATTTTCCATGGACATGCCAGCGTGCATTGAGAAAAGGCGACGCCCACGTGCTTATCCTGCGCCCACTTGAGCCCCTCTCTCATCATTCCCACAGAATTCTAGTTTTTCTTACAGGGCCTGCTATTTGATTATTTTAGTCGAACACTATTTTATACGCAACATTGTTCGTACGCCTCTCAAATTCCATCATTAAGACCCCAAAAGGATTTGTTAAATAAAATCAAAATAAGAAGAACTGTTTAAATGAATTGTGTTAAAGCATTTGGAAAAAAAAAGTTAAAAAAAATACTAAGTGTATGTTTGTTTTGTGGGAATAAAAAATATTTCACTTGTAAAATATTTTTAAATATTTAGTTTAAAAAACATTTTGTTGTTAACATTTTACCTATAATATTTTTTAATACAGGTGATACTAAAATAATGATGGAAGTAGTAACAATTAGGATTGTGGTAGTGGAGGAGTTGGTGGTTGAAGAGATGACAGTGAAGTAATAGTGGTTAAAGAAGAGAAAGTGATGAGATGGTGGTGGTGATAGAGAAGATGGTGATGAAATTGGTGGCTGATATAATTGAATAATGTTATAAGTAAATTAATATTTATAGAATATTTTATAGAATTTTATGAGTTAGAAATATTTTCCTTAAAGGCTAATGTAAAATATTTTATATTAACTATTTTTTCTATAAAATATTTTACAAAAAATAAACACAAGAAAATATTTTACAAGAATAAATATAGAAAAATCTATAAAATTAAGTCTTAATTTCAACTGAAACAAATCTAGTTAAATCTAATTAATTATATCTTATTAACTAACTCAACCATGCCAACATATTTTTATAAATAAAAAATAAAAAACAATATGGTTTTGATATATATATATATATATTGGAGTAGAATCGATGACAAGGTTATCCAAGGGTTTTTTGGGATGGGATTTGGGCCGGAAAATGTACAGTTTTAATCACTTCATTCATTCATTCACATCGTAAACGAGGCGTTCACAATATATATATATATATATATATATATATATATATATATATATGTATATATATTATCATAGCTGTTTTCACCGATATTATTAATGAACAATAAAAATGTCCTTTTGTTTTACTTAGAAGAATTTTGCCAGCATTTATTGCATGATGGTCCGTGACCATGAAACCTTTGAATGTTATTGGTGTGAAATGAAGAAACTAATCGTTTCACTTGTCTGCAGAGTTATGTTCATTAGACGAGGCAATTGAAGGCTCTTGGGTCCATTTTTGGGCGGTTAAGGGTCATTCAAACTAGTCTACATTGGATTCAAACTTACGGTAAAACAAAATGATTGTTTTAAAACGATTTTTAACTCAAAATTTTATTTTTTTGACAATGTATTTACATTTTTTTTATTTCTTTTACGTTCAAAGTTTGATTATTGAGATTCATGGGAACATGGGCCATAGTAGATTGATGTAGCAAACCTACGAATGATGATCAGCATATGATGTTAGTAGCATGGAAGCCTTCAACACTTGCACTTGGCCAATATAGCAGGAGTGGTACTGGTATTGTTGTTAATCTATCTAAAGTTAACAACAAAACCAGCGAATCATATGAATATTGTGATTAATTTAGAGAACTGGGTCAGCTTCTAAAAACCCCATCAATTCTTGCCTATGCTATGTATAGGCATTCAGCAACCCCACCTAACATGTAGAGTCAAATAACCTGGTTTTCCAGCTAAACTGAAATTATTGAGAGGTGTTTTTTTAACAGACTTTCTGTCCTCGTCTTGCTGCTTGATTGCTCATAAATAAGAGAAGATACCCTTTATGGGGTTTGCAATGACGAGATAGGCATCGAGATTTGAACATTATGAAAGCAAAAGTAAGAATATGGAGAGGAAAACTCTTTCACAAGCACTACGCAATTTTGATTAATTATAAGAGGGAATTAGCAAAGATAATCCAGAATCTCTATCCTTTTTCAAAAAGCCCGCTCTGACATGGTCCACCCCCAATATCCCTCCCTCGTCTTGGAATTACACGCCTAAGAATCCCTAGTAAGCATATTTCCTCTGGGTCTCGATGAAATTGCTGAAAGTGTGTCAAACTTTTGTGTATCATCCAAATCTTCTGGGCAATCAGGCAACATATAGGTTAGTGGGTTACGGTCTTGAAGAACTGGACATGTCAAAAATTGGTGATGTCTTGAAGATTGTCTACCAAGTGTTACACAAAATCTGTGCATGATCACTAGGGAGATAAGACCCGGCCGGTGCTGGCTTAATCAATGTCGGCAAGAGACCGGGACCCGAACACTTGGTGGCTCGATCAGCAGGCCAGCCTCTTCGGGGTGGCAATCTTGATATTTCACAGGTGGGTGGAGGGTAAAGTTGTGGGATCATGTGGTTATAAAAGCAGCGGGCATAAACTGATGGCAACCAAACGTAGGAAAGGGGCTGATTCACAAATGCTGCCTGTAATGGTCCTTCTCCATGCTACCCAACGGGGTGGCCAGCAGACAATGGTCTCTGTTTTGGGACCCATGAGTTTCCTTTTCCTGGTGGACCCACTGTGCCTTTCAAATACAGGTTGGGACGCTTTACAGTTTGCATACAGGTTTTATCGGACTTGACCTTTGTCCTGTCTTGAGTCTCCAGCAAGCTATTTATTTTCTCTCATCTTCCATTAGCGGAGTGTTTGCACTTGATAACTGATGTTTTTCGGATAGTTTGTTATTTAAGAATATATTAAACTAATATTTTTTATATTAGTATATTAAAATAATTTAAAAATTATAAAAAAACTTTAAAAAAAAATCTTATTTGAAAAACAGAACACCATCACGCCGCAATATTAAACAGAACAGAAAAATAAAGTCTTGAATGAGATTATTGGCTCCATTTGTTATCGTTAGTCCAACTGTGTTTTTGAATGTTCTTGAATATTTTTTTAAAATATTTTTAAATTTTTATGTAAAATTTAAATTTTAAAAATTAAAAAATATATATTATTTTAATATATTTTCAAATAAAAAATATTATATATATATATATATATATTAAGCAATAACTTGACGTGGGAATTCACTCTTTATTCATACCCCATGAATTTTGGATTATTGCATTTTTTTAACTTTTTTCAATTTTTTTACTTTTTTTTGCACTTTTTTTCCATTTTTTCCTTTTTTTTTTGTTTTTTATCAAAAAATTTATCTTTTCTATATTGAGTTGGTTAAAAATTTTGCTTTGTAATTTTTTTTTAAAATACTGTGGATTGTTATGGTGTTTTTCCATATAGTTTTTTATTTTATTTTTTTATTTTTTAAAATTATATTTTTTTAATTTTATTTTTAAAATATTAAACTGATTGAAAATTTAGTTTTGTAATTTAAAAAAAACATTGTTGATTGCTCCAGTATATATCCACGTGGTTTTTTCTCTTTTTTTATAATTTTCTCTAAAATTATCTTTTTTAATTTTATTTTTTAATATTAAACTAGTTAAAAATTACAGTTACAATATGTGAGAGAAGCACTATAGCTTTCCTCATAAATTACTGTGAATTGCTATATTATTTTTTCCCGTGTAGTTTTTTCTAAAATTATCTTTATCAATTTTATTTTTTTAATATTAAGTTAGTTAAAAATCACAATTACAAGTAAATATAAGTAAAGCTAAATCATGTGAAGAAAACACTGTAACTTTTCTTATAAAACACTATGGATTGATACAGTTTTTCCTCACATAATTTTTTACCAGTTTCTTTTATATTTTCTTTTTTTGTAGTATTTTTTTCTAAAATTATATTTATCAATGTTATTTTTTTAATATTGAGCTGGTTAGAATTTAACGTTGTAATAAAATTTAATTATATGAAGGAAATACTATAGTTTTCTCTCAACATAGTTTTTTTTTATGATTTTTTTTTAAATTATCTTTGTTAATTTTATTTTTTTAATATTGAGTTAGTTGAGAATTACAATTATAAGTCATTATAAATAAGGTTAAATCATATGGGAGAACACTGTAACTTTCATCACAAAACACTGTGAATTTTTATAGTGTTTCCAACATGTTTTTTTCATGTTTTTTATTTTATGTTTTCAAAAATTGTCTCTATCCATTTTATTTTTTTTAATATTAAGCTAAATGAGAATTTAGTTTTGTAATTTTTTTAAAAACACTGTGAATTACTATAGTGTTTTCTCACATATTTGTTTTATGTTTTTTTTTCAAAACTTTTGTCTAATTTATTTTTTAATAATGAGTTAGTTAAAAATTATAATTACAATAAAACTAAATCATATGAGGAAAATGTTGTTGTTTTTCTCACAAAACACTATAAATTGCTACAGTATTTCTCTAAATGTTTTTTTATAATTCTTTTTAAAATTATCTTTGTCAATTGTATTGGAAAAAACACTGTAGTTTTCCTCACAAAATATTGTCAATTGCTATAATATTTTTTCTCATGGTTCCAAAATTATCTTTGTCAATTTTTTTAATATTAAGTTGATAAAAAATTTAGTTTTATAATTTTTTTATTTACAAAAAAAATTAGATTATATAGCAAAAGTATTGTATCTTTCATCACAAAACACTGTAAATTACTACGGATCATTTTGTTCAATTTCTAAATTTTTTATCACCAATATAATTTTTTTTATTATAAAATATTGACTTTATTATATTTTTAATTTATATTATTTATCTAACACTGATTCATAATTATAATATTATTAAATATATTTATTTTATAAATTTGTAGCAGCACACATGAATCGTGTTTATATATATATATATCAACAACAACAGTAATTAGCAAAACAATTCCACCAAAAAATCCACACTCAAGAAAACACCCCTAGCCGGAAAAAAAATCAGAAAAAGAAAACACAGTGACCCACTTGTTAATAAAAATGTAATTTAATAGAGGATAAAGGGTGGGGAAACAGAATAGAAGAGAGCATGATGGCCTTTTCTTTATTCTTCCATAAGCATGAAACCTTCAAATTAATTAACAAAATATAACTTATTAGAGACAGCAGCATGTAATTCAAATTATTTCACTAATAATATGCAGACTGTTGTGCTAGACCCTTCATAATTATTGACATGGGTTAACCGTTTGATTTGTTCCAC